TTGATTTTTTTTTTTTTTGAGAGGGGGGAAGAAGGGATGGGGAGAGAGAAAAAAGAAAACACATTGATATGAGAGAGAAACATCAATAGGTTGCCTCCTATACACACCTAACTGAGGATCGAAACTGCAGCCTATGCTCTGACTGGGAATTGAACCCACAACCTTGCAGTGTATGGGACAGTCACCTGAGCCACACTGGCCAGGGCGACATTGTATATTTTTGCTAGTGATCTTTGAGTTAGATTCCCTGAAAATGAAATCTCTGGGTTAAAGGTAAAAATACTTTTTTTTAGATATTACACATTCCCTTCTCTAGGGATTGTGCTGTTTTTGCATTCCCACCAACAGTATAGCCTGTTCCTCAGCTGGATTTGTGCCAATCTGATAGGTAAATAGTCAGTTTTTTCCTCTTTGCCCAAAGGCGTTTTGATTTCCGTCTTACATAGATTTTTTTGAAAGATCGGATTCATAACATCTTCTACCTGCCTTTTCCCCGCAAGATCTCAGTTTTCTAACCTTTTTAACTTAGTGAGTGTTAGGTGAGGGTGCCGAGGGGCTTCAAAACTGAGCACTTCCGTTCATGGCCTCTCCAGACCTCACCTCCTTCCCTCAGAATTGGGCCCTCTGGCCCTGAGGACACTGGTGTGTGGATCTGAAGGTTTCATTGGCCGTTCTTCTCGGTCTCCTGTGTGTGTTCACCTAATTGATGAATTCCTAACGTTTGCACTCTGGTCCACAGCACCAACTGGGGCTGCTGCTTGAAACCCTTATATTAAAAAGTTGCTCCTTTAAAAGCAAAGTGCCAGGAAGTAGAAGGGCACAGCCAGGCGAACCCTAGTTATGAACACCTTGTCACGTTTGTTCCCCGTTTGAGGTGGTGATTATGGCGGTACCAGGACTCTAGGCCTTTGGGGTGACCAACCACATCAAGAGATCTAATGTGTGTGTAGCATTGGAGCAGGCAGAACTCGTAAGACAGGACTTCACTTTTCTTGGTGGTAAACTCAAAAGATTGAGCTAATTTTGAACTTTGAACTTCGATGATGAAGTGGGATGATGAGGAGGTGCAGAATCCAGCTGCAGGCCTTCATCTGGTGAGGAAAAGTGTTTGATCTTGTGCATGATTTAAGAACCCAGGTTTGGAAATGAGCAGGTGTAAGCTAGACATGATGTTCAGCAAGAGGAAAATGAGAAGCACCTGTGAAAGCTTTAGAAAAATTTTATGCAGGTGAAGTCGACCTGATCTGAACAATACAGTTGACACCTCGTTCACCTTTTGCTACTTTGATCACTTTCCCTGCGGTGATTTTCTTCCTGTACGATAGGCTGAGTGCTAGCGCGTTGTACTCATTGGCTGGAAGCCTTGCGCAGAACTGGTCAGAACAGTGCTCTCTCCATCGTCGCCCTGCCTGCCCTGCCCCCCTCACTATGGAACTGCCGGAGCAAGGCTCCTGTTTCTGTCCGTACCCCGTTTTCCTGCGGCCCTGGGGTGTCCTGCGACTCTGTAGTCTCCTTGGGGTGGATTTGGCTTCAGCCGTGTCCTGGAGTTGGTTGGTTTGCCACGTCATTGTCCTGTGTTAGATAAGCTTACATGGTTTGCCGTGGTCCTAAAGGGCAGCAGTTCTGTTTCAGTCCACAGTCTGGACGGACGGGAGAAAAGGGCATTGGTAATTAGGCCTCTGCCCCGGGGGAGCTGTTTTTCTATGCATTCCAAAAAGATTGGAGTGCTCCTGAGGCGCATGGCGCTGAGCGGGCATTGCAGGGGACCCTGTGAAACAGAGCCAGGCCTGTGACCAGCGAGAGTGCGAGCCGCTGTGGGTGCAAAGCGTGTCTTTGATCTGATCTCTGCATATTCTGCTGCCACTTCAGACTCAGCCATGCCTCCACTTCACTTCCTGATGTCAGTTTTCTCTCACTTAGCGTCAGAACCTGCTGATCAGTTCTCTCTCCTCGTCCTCGAATCCAGTTGATCCTGTGATGTCTCTGTGTCTGCTCCTTCCGACACCCTAATTTCTGATCCAATCACTCAGCTCCGAGTTACTGCAGTGGCTCCTCATCCGGTCTCCCCGTTCCTACATCAGTGTATCCACAAACCGCGCCCTGTGTGTCTTCCTGGGGGAGCACTTCCTGAAACAGCTCACGGCCTGCCCGGAACCCTCCGCCATTCTCCGTGGGCTGTGGCCGGTCTTTTTAACCTGAGGCCCCTGGGTTCAGCGGGTACAGGCCCCTTGGAATGCACTGTAACATGTTGTAAGCTCAGCTTTGTCAGGGTCACCAAAGGTCCCTGAGCCACAAAAGAGAAGAAGGACTAGCCTGCTGGTATGTCCAGCTTTCTGACCTGGCGGCCTCCCGGTCTGCCCTCAGACCACCTTTGCTCTGCTTTCCTCCGTGACCTGTGGTTCCAGCCCCACTGTTTTCATGATCTTGACCTACTTAGCTTTACTTACCTTTTCCTGCCTCTCGCTGCCTACAACGTTCATTCATTTAGAAAGCAGATGAGTAAACACCATTTTTCATTCTCCTGTCTTACTCTGCTCCCCCGTTCTCCTGCGGTTCTTCCTGGTGCTTCGTGGGGAGTGCCAGCCTGCAAGGCCTTGCACTTCTTTCCTGGCCACTTGGTTTCAAAGTAATGTCTTCCCCCTAAATGTGTTTAGCTCCCCAGTTTTTGCCATTCATTCGGTGCCTTGCCTTGACTTGTTAAATACACACCCTTAGCTTGCTTGACTGCCTCTTATTGTTCATCTCCGGTAGTAAGTACATACGTTACACATAACAATAGACAAGGAATTATTTTGTGAATTTGTGATATCTATCTTTGAATAAAAATATATCGAGCCCTAGGCAGTGTGTCTCAGTGGATAGAGCATTGGTCCTCGGAATGAAGGGTTGCGCGTTCAATTCCGGTCCAGTGCCATACCTCAATAGCAGGTTCAATTCTCTGGCCCTGGTCGGGGTGCATGCCGGAGGTGACCAATGGATGTGTCTCTCTCACATAGATGTTTCTATCTCTCCCTTTCCCTTCCACTCTCTGAAACACAATGGGAAAATATCCTCATATGAGGATTAACTATATATATATAGATGAGCTTACATCTATATTTTACATCTAAAAAAAATATATATATTT